GTCCGCCTCGCGTTTGTTTATTATAATAACATCGAAGGGAGAGAAGGGTCAATCGTTTGTGCCCTTGTGCCTTAGTGCCTAGCCCTCTCCGCGCCGCGATGCGCCCCCTCCCCCTCGCCCCAGCCCTTCCTCGGCACTATTCCTTTTCTTTGCCTCAACCAACCAGTTCGTTCAAACCGCAACAACAAAGAAAACAAATTGCGGAAAAACTAAAACACCGCGGTGCTCTAACCCTCCTATCTGCTCTGGGGGCCGGCCCGCGCCCTGAACCCCCGACGCTTCTCGCGGCGGCAGGCACCACGCGTCCACGAGATGTCTGCGTCTGTCCGTCTCTCAATGTAAGTACCGGAAAGGCGATTTTACGATGACCACTCTAATCTGCGAGCCCAGCGACCAGTCAATGAGGAGGTAGAGAGAGCGCGGTGTGATGTGAGAGTGAGAGAGTTTGTTCAAGCGTTGATTGAACAGTGCGGAGATGAAAAGTGTGCCTGTGTCCGTGCCAGTGCGCGCCAATCCGCCCTATTGCGCTAGGCAGAGTCTTCCTGTTGAGTTCTTAGAGTGTTGAGCTGGAGAGGATCGCGCTGCCCCTCGCCGATTTCTCGGCCTGACTCGCCCGATCGCGAATCGAATCGTTGTAGAGCATCACGGGCAGGGCAAAGAGGTGCACGGCAACAAGAACACCAACGAAGGCGTATTCGATGTGGATGACATAAAAGAGTCCAAAGTTGTTGTCAACTCCGTACAAAGCAAGAATAGGGTCGCTTTGCCAATCGTCGTCATTGTAGCCGTCAAAGTGCGTAATGTTGACATAGGTGATGTACTCGACCAGTGTGTAAACGATAAAAAAGACTTGCAGGAAGAGGTTGAATTTGCCAAACTGCCACCATTTCTTCATTTGCTCCTCAGCGTCTTTGTCTCGCTCCTGGTCCACTGTAGTGACGAGGTAGATGTACGTCACGAGAACGTGGACTAGTGAGACGAGGCAGAGACCAAATGCGGTGAATGCCCTGCCTTGCATGGTCTTGTCACTGGGAAATTCGTAGTCGTAGCTTGCAGCGTCGGCGACAACGCTGAGGATCAAGGCCGACACAATGCCAAACAACTGCAGCATCTTCTCTACGTCGTCAAAGGACGGTGCCTTCCGGGCTCCACTCATAATCGGGCCGATGGTTGGCAGCAAGACCGTGAACCACCCGGTGGACGTCAGGCCAAGGCGGCGCTCCATGTCAAAGCAAACGATATCCTGGGGTTGGTGCAGGATAGGTGAAAGGCGCTTGAGAGCTATCTGAAGGCTATCTGTGGACGTGATGTGACTCGCGTTGTTGTCCCGCAGAGGGTGGCTGCCTCAGGTGCGAGGGTTAAAGCGGCCGAGTCCGAGAGATGCCTACTGAGATGCGTGGTGGTGGTTCGCGATGTGGCGCACCGCCGTGGCGCGCGGTGCTTGGGACCGTGACGCCGAAAGGGTCGCCTGCCGAGTTTCCTTGTCCTTGAGGTCGTTTCGTTCGGCCAAAATGCTTCGTTCGGCGGTTAGGCGTGGTATTTACCTTGAGCACTTGAGCAC